TGTGTGCAGAAAACGGCTCAAAGTGAAGATGTGCAGTTTCTGCTGGTCTTTGTGTTGCTGAGTCGTGGTACCTGCAGGTGGCGCTCTGCTGGAGATGTCATGATCCTCATCTGAAAGATCCGGGTCACATTTCTGGACATTTCACTCCCAAACAGCTTCAGGTTCCTGTCAGGGTTTGCATTTCACTGGGCTTTCATCAGGATGTGGCTGCAGAGCAGCAGCAAGAGGAGTCAGTCATCAGACCGCAGGAAGACCCGGAAAGACCCGGGAAGACCCGGAAAGACCCGGAAAGACTTGGGAAGACCCAGAAAGACCCGGGAAGACCCGGAAAGACCAAGAAGACCCGGAAAGACCCAAGAAGACCCAAGAAGACCCGGAAAGACCCAAGAAGACCCAGAAAGACCCAAGAAGACCCAAGAAGACCCGGAAAGACCCAAGAAGACCCGGAAAGACCCAAGAAGACCCAGAAAGACCCAGAAAGACCCAAGAAGACCCAAGAAGACCCAGAAAGACCCAAGAAGACCCAAGAAGACCCGGAAAGACCCAGGAAGACCCGGGAAGAAACTAGTTTGTCTGACATGTTGCCTCATTTATGGCAATAAGTCATAAATAATAAACCTGTGACTTTATTCTTTCAAATTTTCACTAAACTAAAATAAATCTGAAAACATTTTGGGTGATAAAAGTTTCTGTGAACTTTGAATCCTGTTTGTGTTTTTGAACTGACCTTTGACCTAAGCTGCCAGTTCTCTCGTGGTCTGATGAGGTTTTATGTGGTTTTGTTTGAATTCTTCCTGGTTTTAAACAGTAAATAGTTTGAGGAGAAACAAAATGAGACGAAGAAACGCAGGACGTCTCTGCATCACTGGTTGCCTTTCTGTTAAACGCTTAAAGTGATAATTTATCTGTAAAACAAGAAGCTGTGTGAATGTTTCTAATTATTAAAAGACGAATTGAACCGTTTGAACCTCACTGGAGGAAAACTCATTTTCAGGCTTTAAACTGTGATTTTTACTTTTCCTGTTTGCCAGGAGGCGACTCGCCTCGTCTCTGAGAGACGATGGAAGATTTTAAATCAGAAAACGTCTGAATCAACATCCAAACGAGCTCAGCGTCTGCAGAAATCCCACTGATCCTCTGTGCCGAGTTTTCCTTTCTTTCCCTCAATGCCTCATTTAAATGACCTGAACTTTAAAACTAATTCTGTGAAACAACCAAAGTTTCTCCTTCGTGCCTCTCAGAGTTAAATTTATGGTTTTAACTCTCGTTAAATCAATGCAATCAATCGTCTGGATTTGATAATTATTGAACAAAACCTGCTTTTCATAAAGATCTGACCTCAAACGAAGTTTGTTCTGTTTCTGCAAATCAAATGACGAACCGAGTCCAAAACCAAGCCGAAGCTTTGGTTCCTTTTGTCCACACAGACGCGAACGCATCGATGTTTGCAGACAAAGAAAACATTAATTCTGCTTTAATGGCTCTAATTCGCCAGCATTCAAAAAACTGTTTCTGTCAGACGTTTGACAGGATATTGCTTTTCTGCTCTTATTGCACACACACACACACACACACACACACACACCCCCCCCCACACACACACACACACACACACACACACACACACACACACACACACACACACACACACACAAGTCAGAGCAAATTACTGTGACCATTACTGAGCTCTGCTCTCTCTGATGCCTGAAAACCTCTAGAAAGTCACAAAAAGGTCTTTTTATCTTTTCAATTATGCCTCAGAATGACGAGAGTCTTTTGTGAAAGGAAAAATAATCCAGCGATGATGAGAGATGGACTCTGAAGCAGAGGAGATGATAATTACATGCATCAAATTTAATGAAAGGAGCACAGGAAGTGCTGGTGAGGCGTGATGTCGATCTCCTCCTTCCTGCTGGACCTGACAGCAGAATCCTGCTGAACCAGGCTGATCCGCTCCGGTTCTGGATTTCTGCAATCTGCCAAAAACTGTCATGTCTGAACAGGAGAAAAGCTCAGATTGCATCAGATGTTTCAGGGCATGAAAATATTTCTTTCCTGAAACTCGCGTCTCGTTTCTTCACACCTGAGAAATTATCCTAGAGATGCGTTCAGGGTTCTGATGTGGCGCAGGAGAAATTTTATCCAAGGTTTTCAGGTCCAGATGCAAACACTGGACTCAAACAGAGCAAACTTCCCAGTTAGCTGGAAGCTAAATGTTTAGCTCTGCTCGTCAGTTAGCTAGCAGCTAAATATTTAGCTCTGGTCGTCAGTTAGCTAGCAGCTAAATGTTTAGCTCTGCTCGTCAGTTAGCTAGCAGCTAAATATTTAGCTCTGGTCGTTAGTTAGCTAGCAGCTAAATATTTAGCTCTGCTCGTCAGTTAGCTAGCAGCTAAATGTTTAGCTCTGCTCGTCAGTTAGCTAGCAGCTAAATGTTTAGCTCTGCTCGTCAGTTAGCTAGCAGCTAAATGTTTAGCTCTGGTCGTTAGTTAGCCGGCAGCTAAATGTTTAGCTCTGCTCGTCAGTTAGCTAGCAGCTAAATGTTTAGCTCTGGTCGTCAGTTAGCTAGCAGCTAAATGTTTAGCTTTCCAGAGTCTGAACCTCTGATGTTTCACTTCCTGTATTTGCTGATCAAGTTGCTCATTGATGTAACAGGATATGAAAATCCTTAAAGTTTAACTTTCACATGTTTTTCTTCCTGGTTCTGCAGGACCAACCGGACTGGGATGAACCCAGTTTTCTCTTTTCCAAGTCTCCAGCTGCTGCGTTTCTATTCCGCATAATTGCATAAATTGGAATTACAAAAATACATTTGCTTAATAAAAACCTGGCAATTTGATAAAAGCTTTTTGCACCAGGATGAGGTAAAATTGGAGTATTGTGCAAAACTGCATGGAAATACTTTAGTTGTCAGATAATCAACAACCAGGAAGTGGTTGGATGTTCGTGCTGCATGGTTTTAATCACAAGTCCAATGATTTAACTGTGTTTGAAAGTATTTTTTCAATATTAATAAATTCTATGTTAATCAGTGAAAATGGACGGTTGGACCAGCAAAACATTCATATTTTTACTTTTCATCCTTTAATGTTATTTTTATGTGGTAGAAAATAAAAAGCGCCGTTTTTCCTCCACTCTGCTAAACAATGAAGGTTTTTTTTTCACTTCATCTTAACAAGACGTGTCTTCTTCATTCCAGGTTGAAATTACACCTTCAGGCATAAAAACCGTTATCAATGCGTTCAGCAGGTACCGGTTGCCATAGATCCAAAACTATTGCATTGATTCGCCCTCATGTGAGCCCGTTTTAATCAGGTTCTGATCACAGTCAGCTGGGTCCGGCTCCACTGCTCATCCAAACAGAACCGCTCCTGTTCACACCAGCACACTCTCAGCAGAGTGACTGTAATTGGCCCCATGCTGATTGCAAAAGTATTCAGGAAAATTATACACATTACAGGACGAAGCCTCAGCTGGAAGCCGGAGCGGAAAGGTGCAGAAACATCCTGAAGAGGCTCTTCATGCTGCTGGAAGAACTGTAATTTTCTCAACAACTTCTAATAACTCACACGTTCACCTTTTTTCCTTTTCTCTTATTTTTCATCTGGTTCTGACGGTTCATCTGAGCTGAACCGATTTTGTCCTGAACACACAGAAACTGCAGCATCAGTGACCTTCCTGTTACCAGACAGCAGGTAGAGGTGATGATGTCACAGCGTCGGCCATCGCAGCTAATGACCGCCTACCTGAGTCAGAAAACTCCAACGGTACCCAAACGTCTCATCCTCTGCTTCCTGGATAACGCTCTGCTCTCTGTCAGTGAAGATTCGCTCCCATCAATTCAACACCAACGACGTTTCAATAACCACGCTGCTGCGATCACACAGTAATAACACCTTTATTACTACTGCGTATCAGAAACTCCAAATCCTACAGCTCATAACGTGTATGCATTTCATCCAACCTGAAGCCATTTTCCACTGGATTTGCTGCATATTCACATCCAGAACCAGAACAGACCTCACTCTGTTTCCATCAAGTTGAGATTCATCTGGAAAAGCTTCAGACGGAAACGAGTCGGATCTTCTCTGTTGGGTTGAAGGGAAAGGTAACAGGACGATGGCAGATTCAGCAAACTAAGAGAAAAGAGATCACAAGTCATGAGATTTCACTGAGGAACTCATTGATGCTGATATTTTAGAGCATTTACTTTCAAACGTCTGACATCCTGAAGGATTCAGGTTGATTTTTTCTCCAGGTCTGAAACTCGCTGATCGAGTTCAGTGATCATCCAGGTTCCACATTCAGGCTATTTTAGAAGTTTTGCTCCTGCAGGTCGATCACAAAACGACATCTGAGAGCTGTGACTGATGAGCCGGCGGCCGATTCGTCTTCTGACCCATAAATCACCCGATGCCTCAGTTCAGACGGTGCTGCTGGTTGCTGCAGGTTTCTGCTGGATGTTGCTGGTTGCTGCAGGTTGCTGTTGGTTGCTGCAGGTTGCTTCAGCCTTCCACTGGACGTGTTCAGGCTCTTCAGGGAGACGGAGGAGGATAAACCAACAGCTGCTGTTTAGAAGTAATGGAGTGGAAGGAATTTCTCCATTTTGAACTAACCTCTGTTCCCTCTGGTTCCCTCTGTTCCCTCTGTTCCCTCTGTTCCCTCTGTTCTCTCTGGTTCCCTCTGTTCCCTCTGTTCTCTCTGGTTCCCTCTGTTCCCTCTGTTCCCTCTGGTTCCCTCTTGTTCTCTCTGTTCCTTCTGTTTCTGTCTGTTCCCCTCTATTCCCTCTGTTCCCTCTGGTTCCCTCTGTTCTCTCTGGTTCCCTCTGTTCCCTCTGTTCTCTCTGGTTTCCTCTGGTTCCCTCTGTTCCCTCTGTTCTCTCTGGTTCCCTCTGTTCCCTCTGTTCTCTCTGGTTCCCTCTGTTCCCTCTGTTCCCTCTGGTTCCCTCTGTTCCCTCTGGTTCCCTCTGTTCCCTCTTGTTCTCTCTGTTCCCTCTGTTCCAGTTGAATCCTCCAGCCCTGCTCAGCATGCCCCGCAGCCCCACCTCCAGCGAGGATGAAATGGCCCAGAGTTTTTCCGACTACTCTGACGACGGCGCCTCCGACAGTTCCCGGGAGGAAACCATCTACGAGACGATCAGAGCGACCGCCGAGCCGCCGCAGAACCACATGGACGACATCCAGTCCAACTCGCTGGTGATCCGCGTCCTGATCCCCGACCTGCAGCAGACGGTGAGCAGCAGTCAGGATTTATGGCTCCAAACTGAAAAGTGTTTATTTTTCCACATGGACTTCCGGGAGCCTCAGTCCAGATCTGAGTGTTTTTATCCAACTGCATCATTTTATCCTCCTTTCATGATAAAATGCTCTAAATATTCTCAGCAGCAGTTTTTTACCTGCGCTGCTTTCATGAAGCAAAACTAGAATAAGAATATTTTAAATATCATCCAGAGTGATTCATGTTGTTCACCTCCAGATCTTCTGGGTTCTCCAGACTTTTGGACTTTTGATGGTTTTTCTCTCAGTTTGTTCCTGATCCTGCAGGATCAGCTTCACCTGGACCATCTCCCGGGTCAGAGTGCAGCGCCGGACCCGGAGCTTGTTTCTGGACTTTACAGGCTGCATCATGGTTCTGTAGTTTAGCTCAGAGACAAAACCTTTGTTTTCAGACAGAAGATGTGAATTTTTGCCCTAAATGTCCCAAAGAGCTGAAAACCTGCTGAATAATAATGACGGATTTTTACTCAGACGTGAATCGTTTCTCTGCTGCAGACGAATTTAATCTCATTTTTTCTTCCACTTGATCTGTTTGTGTTTTTTCAGCTGATCTTGAACCACTTAATGCCTGAATTCACATCCAGCTGTGTAGGAAATATTGATATTTGTGTTTTTAATGTGGGTCAGATGATGGTGTGAACATTTCCCCTGCAGTCAGTGTGATGTTGCTGGTTCTTCTCTTGGTTCGCTGCTGCTGCCTCCTTTCAGATTCTTATTTACTGCTGAACTCTGAGCGAAACAACAACGAGTCAGAAACATTCAACTGGACCGGAGAGAAAAACGAGGAAAATGTGAACAAATCCACTTTCCTTTGTTCAGCAAGTTATTTTTCCAGCACTGATAAACATCTCTAATTAGTCCTCTCCCCGTTTCTCTCCACATAAACGTAACTTCTGGCCGTTGGATGCTAATTATCGGCTCCTGAACGAGACGCCCGGCTTTTTTTCTGAAGTCGTCACATTATTTTCTCACCTCTTTGTGTTCAGATGTGAAGACTTTAACGAGGTGTGACCAACAGGACTCACGTTGCCTCGTTTCCCTGATGAAACGCAGAGGAGTGTGAATCATGAGTGGGAGACATGTGGTGTAGTTTTTCATTTTAATGCCAAGTGAAATGTCTGATCGTAAGCAGAGGGAGGGTCTATTTCATCACATGGTAAAACTGGAAGGCATTTATCACATCATACTGTCTGCATGTCTGACGTCTGCAATACATGATCATAACTTTATGCATGCTTTCATTTTTATAGATTTATTATTGTGTGATCAAACTTATTTTAATTGTGCTTCTTATTTCATGGAGTTATTATTTTTGTGAAATTGTGTTTTTGAGGGTTTGTTTTGTTGGCAGGTTGAGATATAAACACCTGAGATCAGCGAGAAAAACATGATGTGAAGCAGAACTGAAACATTGAACAGCTGAAGCATAAAACACGCTGAAAGGTTCTGGTCTTTGGACGGGTTCTGGTCTTTGGACGGGTTCTGATCTTGGACGGGTTCTGGTCTTGGACGGGTTCTGGTCTTGGACGGGTTCTGGTCTTGGACGGGTTCTGGTCTTGGATGGGTTCTGGTCTTGGACAGGTTCTGGTCTTTGGGATGGAGAAATGTTTCAGCTCTGGCTCCTCAGAGCTCTGACTGAAACCTTGTTTTCCACATGGATGCTGTTTTTCCTTTCACATCTTTTCACTCTTGTGAAACCTAAAAGTACACACGCGCACACACACACACACACACACACACACACACACACACACACACACACACACACACACACACACACACACACACACACACACACACTTCAGCAGCTGCTCCAGAGACCTGAGAGAAGAGTTTGTGTAAATAAGAGTGCAGTGGTTTGTGTTGGTCTGTGCTGACCCTGCTCTGACCTCCTGAAGCTCCTGGATCAGCGCGGCGGTGATGATTTGTTGTGTGAAACATGTTTTATGGACACATGTGCAGTGCGCTGCTTCACATGTGTGCTCTGACCGCTCTGTGCTGCTGCTGGATGGCAGCATGAAGTGGAGCCATCCACTCAGAAACCTGCTGAATAATTCAGGACCAGCATGAACTCAGTGCATGTGACTCCGACTCCAGCTGCCATCGACTCATGCAGCTGTTTTCTACATTTTGGATTTTCACAGATGGTCAAACCTTTTTAGATGCTTCAGGTCTCCTCTGTGTTGCATGAGCCAACAAACCACTTCAGGTTTGATCCAGTCCTAAAAAGTCCAGATGTTTCAGTGCCTGGTTGGTTCATTTCATCTCAAAACTCAAGAGGTTTATTGTTCTGTTGCTTTTTGCTAAACTCTTGTCCTCCACACTGAGCACTGCCGCCACGTTTCATGAAAACCTGCAGCTTGTCTCTAATGAAGCTGCTGTTTGTGTCTGAGGACAAAACAATAATGGAAACGATTTAAATTAACGCCTCTGTCTCGACCCGACCGGATCCAAACGCTCCTGAATGCCGCTAATCCTCCCACATCCAGGCCAGGCGGGAGCCACCATTGTCTGCTTGCTTCACTTCGAGCTGAAAGCAGAACCGGCCAGTGGGCCAGAGAGGTTCTGTCAGTTCACCCTCAGTGACCCATCACTGGCACCGTTCACAGCAACTGGGACTGGCTGGACGTGTTAACTGGTCCTACTGGGCCTCTCATCGCAGAAACACTAAATGTCACCAAGTATTTGTGTCCAGTTTCTGGTGAAAATATGTCAATAAACCAAACTCTGACGTCTTACTGGAGAAAGAAACAAAGGGAATACATTCCTGCCAAAAACTTTGACAATAATCACAGAAATTTTCTAGAAAGAATTTAAACATGTCAAAAGACAAAAAGTTGTAACTTTTGAAGACCAGAAAGTTTTTATTTTCTAGCGATTTGCAGAGGAAATCCTGCAAGTGAAACAATCAGTGGAATATTGATGATTTTTTTCATCAATATTAAGGAATCATTGATTTAAAAGAAACTCAATTATCCTTCTGAAAAGTTACCTGTCAGGTAGTTTAGTCTTCAGTGAACTGAGGTTTGCAGTAGAAACAATACTTGCTATAATTCACTAGTTTTGTTCTGTGAATACAGAGTTTTGTGGAGGTTTTTGCTCCCTTACAGATTTCTGTTTATTTTTAACTGAATGATTAATATTGAATTATTTGTTATGCTTTCTCCTTCGGGTCAGAAATGCATGCGGTTCAACCCGGACGCGACGGTCTGGATCGCCAAACAGCGGATCCTGTGTACGCTCAATCAGACCCTGAAGGACGTCCTGAACTACGGACTCTTCCAGCCGGCGAGCGACGGGAGGGACGGCAAGTTCCTGGACGAAGAGCGCCTCCTCCGAGAATACCCGCAGCCAATCAGCAAGGGCGTTCCCTGCCTGGAGGTCAGCCGCTCGTCCAATCACAGCCCAGATGATGAACCGCTTATTTTACAGACTCTTGGTTTGATGAGGAGTTTGGATGGTAAAGTTTCTTTAAGGCATTTCAAAATAAGACATTTCCTCTGAGAATCTCAGTTGGATCTCAAAGTAATTTGCTGATAATTTCTAACTTAAACGAATATTATGCAGTTTTCTGCGTTTCATCATCATCATTATCATCATCATCTTCATCCTGTGCAGGTCAGATTACCGTTTCGTCTCCTTTTTGGTGAAAGGTGTCTGCCACACCAATCAGATTTTCTCTAAGTAAAACATGTACTGAAACAGTGAGTGGTTAGCAAAACTCAAAATGATTAAAAAACGTTTCTTTTCCATAACTTATTCACACACACTCTGTAAAACACACACTCTGTAAAACACACTCTGTAAAACACACACTCTGTAAAACACACACTCTGTAAAACACACTCTGTAAAACACACTCTGTAAAACACACTCTGTAAAACACACTCTGTAAAACACACACTCTGTAAAACACACACTCTGTAAAACACACACTGTAAAACACACTGTAAAACACACACTCTGTAAAACACACTCTGTAAACACACACTGTAAAACACACTCTGTAAAACACACACTCTGTAAAACACACACTCTGTAAAACACACTCTGTAAAACACACACTCTGTAAAACACACTCTGTAAAACACACACTCTGTAAAACACACACTCTGTAAAACACACACTGTAAAACACACACTCTGTAAAACACACACTCTGTAAAACACACACTGTAAAACACACACTGTAAAACACACTCTGTAAAACACACTCTGTAAAACACACTCTGTAAAACACACTCTGTAAAACACACACTCTGTAAAACACACTCTGTAAAACACACTCTGTAAAACACACTCTGTAAAACACACTCTGTAAAACACACACTCTGTAAAACACACACTCTGTAAAACACACACTGTAAAACACACTCTGTAAAACACACACTCTGTAAAACACACACTCTGTAAAACACACACTCTGTAAAACACACATTCTGTAAAACACACACTCTGTAAAACACACACTCTGTAAAACACACACTCTGTAAAACACACACTCTGTAAAACACACTCTGTAAACACACACTCTGTAAAACACACTCTGTAAAACACACTCTGTAAAACACACACTCTGTAAAACACACTCTGTAAAACACACACTCTGGACTGATCTGTGGAGCCGGTCTGTGGTTCTGTGGCTGATACTGGATCTAACTGGACCTGAAGATGAATATTAAACCTCAAAACTCAAAGCATGACAAGAACATCTGAGACTTGGCATAGATCCCAAATCCTTTGTTTTTAATGAACACAATCTGACATGTTTCTCTACAACAATATATTTCAGCTCCTGCTGGTGAAACATAACAGATTATTATATGGAACAGATGGAGAGAAGATGGAGGGATGAAGGGAAGCAGTAGAGACCTGCAGTTTGACATTCATCTCTCATCTGGTGATATTATACGTTTTATTTCAAAGGTCGATAAAACAAATTTTCAGAAACTCCAGAGTTTTGTTCCTTATGAATATTAAAAACAGCAAAGCGTTAGTGTAATCTGGTTGGGATGAGTCGGTGGAAATGTCGCAGCGTTTCCCAGCTCACTGCTCACATCTCATCTCCCATCAGCTGCTGATCCAGGTATGGACACAGAGCTGGTTGACCGATAGCAGCGTTAGCATCATCCGAGTTCAGGTCTGCTTCCTGGCCGACCTCAGAGCGGCTGGAGTTCGTTAGCTGATGGCTTTTAATCAAGCCGCAGAACGTTTGAGTTTCCGATTCGCTCAGCAGCAGCAGAGAAATCTTTCATTTGGTTATTACCCCCCGTTACATCTGTAATATTCATCAGACAGATTTGACATTTAATATGATCCTAATCTAACATCCTTTCATCTGAGTACTGCTGACGTCTGAACCCAAACTCAAGTCAGTTTATTTTTATTCTACCAGGACAGAATTTTATTGCTTTGCATGTTTAAGGTGGGACTGCTGACATTTTCTGGAGGTTTATTATAACTTCCCTTTGAAGAATATTTCTTAAAGACACTTGAAGTTTTTGAAATGATGTAGCGCCACCTGCTGTTTTTATTCATTATGCTTGGGTTGTTGGTTCAATCCCAAATCCCTGATGTTTGTTGTAACAGGATACGAGAGATTCATGTCCCAGTCAAATCACAGGAGTCAAAATGAGGAGTTATTAAACTGTGAACCAGAAATCAATTCACCTCTGAAGTGTGAAGTTGGATTTGACCCAAAACCACAATGGGTCAGAACCAATGACCCACCCAAAGGGGAGACGTGATGGTCAGAAGCAGAACGTTTAAATCAATGAGGAGTTTTGCAGTGAAGCTGCTGCTGGATAAGAGAGCAGAGAATCAGTAGATCCAGTTTAGATGACTGAACTCTGAACAGGAAGATAAAATCACTGGACTTATCCAAAACGATTCGTCGTACAGCCCGGACGGTTCAGATGCACAGCAGTCATATTAGATTTTAGTCTTTATATGTTCGCGGTGTCGTTGTTTTCTCATGTTTTCTCATGTCAGCCAGTGATGCTGATTTCTACAGATGAGCAATTTCCACTTCCAGTTTGAGGGAATCTGTAATTTCCTGCAGGTTAGTGGCCATGAACACAGGCCAGTTGAAGACGTTTAATCGTTTTTTCCTCCAACAGTTTCGCTACAAGAGCAGAGTCTACAGACAGCCCAACATCGATGAGAAGCAGATTGCCAAACTTCATACAAAGGTAAGGATGGACACGCGACACCTTCACTGTGTTTCTGTAAAAGTCACGTTTGAAAAGTTTGCTGCCATCATTAGAGCGACTGTCAGCTGAAGGTTGAGAGGTAAATAAAGCAATTAGTGTTTCCCCAGACAGAGATGTTTACCGCAACAAAACAGCATGCATCTTTTTTCACTTACCGCAAATTACCTTTTCATTTTTACTCCCTGCAATTAAATTAGCTGTTGCTAAGTTAGGTTGCTATGCACATTATGGTTTGTTCTGAGAAAAACTAAACAAGGTGTTTGAATGATAAAAGATTGAATCATACCAAATCATTTACATGAGAAACATGAAAGATGTGCCTGCAGTAACATCTGGCTGCTGATCATGTGACTCGTGATGTAAAAAAATGTTTCCATTAAAGTTTTAGACCAAAAAAAAACAACATCATCATAGCATCAAAACTTTACACAAAAAATGAGTTTTTCCATAATTGGCGTGTTCCCATTCAGCAAATTTATTTTCAAAATGTCAAATTCTGCAGTTAGAAGGTCAATGGAGGGACAGCTGATGTGCTTCTGAAGGATCCAGACTTACTGGAATCACTTATTGATCCATCCGATTTGATTAGTCAGGCTTAGTGAAAAATCTGTTCATCATCAGCATAACAACAGATATTTACTTTATACCAGTCGATATGTTTAATATTCCTGAATTAAAAACAAAAAGACCAAACACTGAGGCCTGTGGAACTCCTTAATGAACCGATTCATTATTGACCTGAAGAAGCCGGAGTCTTGAATACGAGCTGGAGGTTCGGCTGTTCCCGGCCCGCAGTGGACTCTGCTGCCCCCTGCTGGTGTGATGAGCAGCCAGACATGGAGAAACATCTCCCACTTCCTCCCACTTCAGTCTGACAGACTTTGGGAAGTGCAACCTGAACACCTCAGACACCTTCACATCGAAGGCGCCGCCAGAATAAGACACCAAGAATCTCAGATTACAGTTTAAAATCTTCCCTGTCTGGTTGGATTCAGACTGTTTGTTTGTTTCTGGTCATTTCTGCTTCCTATCAGGGAATGAAATGAGGAGAACAGTTCTTATCTACCTCTATTGTCCTCTTTTTTATAATTATTTGGAATGATGCTCTTCTTCCTGGCAGATGAAGAGCAGGCTCCTCCTCCTCCTCCTGCCTCCATTCCTCCTATATGAATCGAAATGAGTTTTCAGCCTCCTGGTTGTTTGGTTCCAGCTCTGGGCTGCTGTCCTGCAGCCTCTGTAATCTTGTTGTGCAGCCAAATCAAAATGTCTGTGGCAGCTCTCTCCTACAGGAGCCGGTGAAACCGTCTGACAGCAGCTCTAATTTCATATCCGACTGCAGGGAAGCGAGACGGGAAGGAACACAACCAGGGAGGAAAATAAGAAAGGCAAGAGGAGGAAGATGCTCATAAATATGGAACAGGGACATAAATACATACAGTCAAGTTTCCAAAATGTTATTAATGTGAAGAAGTGTTTCTCTGGGATATTTCTGGTTCTAAAAGGTGATATTTTAGCTCAACATTTCCATCCTGTTGCTTTGCTGTGAGGTAGAAAGAGGAGCAGCAGCAGATCAATGTCCAGACTGTCTCCCTGTTCAGGACGGGCAGGGAGGAGACCACACTTTCCTGCTCATTCTGATTCATCAGGCCTGCAGAGACACACAGGGGACAGGCTGGACTGGGGACATTAAATAAAAGACGAGACACACGCGGGGCCACGAACATGATCCTTTGACATTTCCAGATATTGAGCCGCTGGTGAGTCACTGCAGCCGTCAGTCTGATGGAAACTGAGTCACTTTGGATGATTCTCTGCTCTCAGTGCAGCTGGTGGTAAAATGATCAGTATTTATACTCAGAGCTTTGTCAACATCCAGGCAACATCTAGTTAGCATTGTGTTAGCTCAATATGCTAATTAGCGCCAGCAGTTTAGCGGTAAATAAAAATAGATGTTTAGTTTGATGAAAATATGTTAAAGTCTCAGTATTCCTTGCTCTGAAAGATTCTTCAGAGCAAGGAATACTGCTCTGAAGACCACCATGTCCAGCTCCTGTTGCTTCTCCCAGTGCTAACTACAGAGATACATGGTTGGTCAGCCAATCAGAGCCAGGAGGCGGGTCTTATCGCTGTCAATCCCTCTCAAGTACACGCTGCTCATCCTCCCTTTTGCTCTCTGCAGTGCTTTAGCAATAAATGCTTAGGCTAGTTAGCAACAGTTTTCCTGTAATGGTAAGCTGTTTCTCTCCCATGAGCAGCATGTTCACATGAGTGATTGACAGCACTCAGCCCAGGCTCCTGGCTCTGACTTGGTAGAGATCGATCTTTCCACAGATTATCTGTATCAGAGTATTTATAAATGAAACTGAAAGTCACCACTGAAACTATAATAAATAAGACATTCATAAATTATTGAGCAGCGTCTACCTGGGGCTGCTGCTGATGGACTGCAGAGCAGAACTTCTAACATTTCTGTCAAAATTTCAGACATAACAAAATCAAACTGTATAAGAAATCATGAAATTAAAATCTGCTGGTTGAACAAAGGAGCTTTTTACTAAAACGTTTAAGTGATGGATTCATAGATGAAGCTGTTTCAGACGAACCACAGCAGGGATGTTAGCAAACAAGCAGCTCAAAATACTCGTATAATCCTTCAACACAGTGAATATTCATGATCAGAGTCACTGTACCTGCTGCAGCAGCTGGTTGCTGCAGCAGCTGGTTGCTGCAGCAGCTGGTTGCTGCAGCAGCTGGTTGCTGCAGCAGCTGGTTGCTGCAGCAGCTTTTGTTTCGGATCTTTTTCTGCTCTCTCATTCTTCCTGCTTTCTCTCCTTCAGGGAGCTGCTCTCTTATCTATTTTTATCTCACGGCCTGAAAAGAAAGCAGACAGAACAGAGCGGCGCAGAAAGAAAGGAGCCGCTCCGTCCTGCCCTGTCCCCCGATGTCCTCCCCGTCCCCCCCTCCTGTCTTATCTCCACATTCAACTTGATTTCATTTTATTCTTCTATGTTTGACCTTTTTTGACCTTTCCCCGTATCTCTAATTGTACTTTGTGAAAATGGATCCTTTTGTCTCGGCGTTCTGCTTTGATGACCCGTTTGTCCTCCGGTGTGTGCAGGCCAACCTGAGGAAGTTCATGGACCTGGTTCAGCAGAACCAGGTGGACAAAGTGGGGAAGCTGTTGGAGCGAGGCCTCGACCCGAACTACCACGACGGGGATTCTGGTGGTAAGTCTGCAGGCCGGACACAAACACAGCAGAAACTCACTGAGCAACAGAAAGAAAGACTTCTGGGAAAGAAATGGTTCTGGTTCTGGTTCTGGAGGGAAATCCAGACCCAGAAAATCCTCCTCATCCTGGAAACATTTGATCAAAAAACATGATTTCTTTTAAAATGTCATGTTTCACATTTAGTTTCTCGTCCACTTTGTCGATGTAAAGGCAGCGATCCAATCAAGACCGAATTAGAGAAACAAGAGTTCATCTGACGGACCTTTGGTTCTGGGTGATGGATTCGCTGTCGTCCAGTTTCTGTTTTTTATGATGCCGGTCGTAACGGCGCATCAGCCCTGCAGCTCATGACCCTCCAGTGGCTCCGCGAGGCAAAGCGCCGCCCTGCTGGCTGCAGTGAAGCATTTCTCTGCTGATTAGGTTCCCAGGTGTGAACATCCTGGGCCCAGGAGGCTTCTGGGTAATGAGCCCAGTTCTGATGTCAGTGCGTTGAGAAGGTGGTTCCTGGTTCCAGAGGAGAAACACAGAGATCCGGACGGACCCTGAACACATCGTCTGTTTTTCAGTCAGTTACTCGCCGTGCAAATCAATATTATTAATTTAAATTAGATTCATTTCTTTATTCTGGTCATTTTTAACCTTCAAAACACACAAACAAAATGGAACAGAACAAAAAAGACAAAATTAGTACAGAAATGGATATTTCAAAAACACAAAGTGAAGCAAAAGTTTATTATACCTCAACGTTTTATACAACATATTGTAAATTAAAACAGCAGAATTATTAATTTCAGAAAGTGAAACTCGTACATCATATAAATTTATCACATCTGAAGGGAAATGTTGGAAAAAATAGTTTTCATGTTATCTTCATGAAAACCCAAAAGTCTAAAAAAATATGTGAACATTGTGAGAAAAAGAAATATTGAAAACTCATCAAGCTGCACCAAAGCTTTTTCAAAGAAAGTTGAGTGGAAGGAAAAAGTGTGGAAGGAAAGATGAACAGTGGTAACCTGGAGAGGAACATGGAGTGAAATCAGGATCGAGAGGAACGTCAGGACTGGACAGAACATCTGGGTCCACTATGAGCTACACCATCTTACCTGGGCTGAGCGGAACCAGAACCAGAACCGGATGGTTACCCAGTGGTCCACAGTTTTCATTTCATTTGGACCTGAAGGTTCAACCCTCTGAACTCCACCAGGCTTATCAGCTGTTCAGGACACTGTTGCCCAGGTGAAATGTTGCTCAGGTGAAATGTTGCCCAGGTGAAATGTTGTCCAGGCGAAATGTTGCTCAGGTGAAATGTTGCCCAGGTGAAATGTTGCTCAGGTGAAATGTTGCTCAGGTAAAATGTTGCCCAGGTAAAATGTTGCCCAGGTGAAATGTTGCCCAGGTGAGTTTTTTCTCCTGCGTTGATCAGCTCCAGTCGTTTCCACCTTCATCTTGTTGCCTCAGGCAGCAACAAACATGTTGCCGTCATGCGTTGCTTTAAGAGCTGTTGACTTCCCTCCAGCGCTGAGGCTCATAATTCTGTTTATTTATGATTATGTAATGAATCTGTCAGGAGTGTCTGTGCTGCGGTTGAGCAGCGTTGAGTGGACCGATGAAGGTGAGCAGGAGGAAGAGGAGCAGTTCGGCTGAGCTGCTGCTGAAATAACGACCTCTGGTACCAGAACCAAACCTCCAGAACTCCAGCTGGAGAAAAACCCACTGCTTCCCCTGATCACTGTAATAACCAATAATGATCACTGTAATAACTTAATGATCACTGTAATAACTTAATGATCACTGTAATAACCAATAATGATCACTGTAATAACTTAATGATCACTGTAATAACTTAATGATCACTGTAATAACTTAATGATCACTGTAATAACCAATAATGATCACTGTAATAACTTAATGATCACTGTAATAACTTAATGATCACTGTAATAACCAATAATGATCGCTGTAATAACCAATAATGATCACTGTAATAACTTAATGATCACTGTAATAACTTAATGATCACTGTAATAACTTAATGATCGCAGTAATAACTTAGTGATCACTGTAATAACCAATAATGATCACTGTAATAACTTAATGATCACTGTAATAACTTAATGATCACTGTAATAACCAATAATGATCACTGTAATAACTTAATGATCGCTGTAATAACTTAATGATCACTGTAATAACCAATAATGATCACTGCAATAACTTAATGATCACTGTAATAACTTAATGATCGCTGTAATAACTTAATGATCACTGTAATAACTTAATGATCACTGTAATAACTTAATGATCACTGTAATAACTTAATGATCACTGTAATAACTTAATTATCGCTGTAATAACCAATAAGGATCACTGTAATAACTTAATGATTGCTGTAATAACCAATAATGATCACTGTAATAACTTAATGATTGCTGTAATAACTTAATGATCACTGTAATAACTTAATGATTGCTGTAATAACTTTCAACTGACAGAAGTGATGATAAACTGGAAACAGTAATAAAGAGAGAATCCCACTGAATAACTTGGGTTCAACAGACGCCTTTCATTTAAAAACAGCAACTAGCTTCCAAAATCCTGGACAATAACGATGCAACCTGTCAGTGAATATTTTGTTGCTCAACTTGTGGAGGGAATCAGAGGATTTCTGCAGCGTTTATCAGGTTTCTGCTCCTCTCAGCTTCCAAGCCAACAGGTGAACAGGTGTTCACATGTCATGTGAACGTCATCATTTTTGTCCAGGCCTGTTTTGTTACTTTGATATTTTTCTAATAATTCTGTTGAATTAAAAAGCTAAATCAGATTTCCACTGGATAATTTCAGGATTTTTTCTCATTTTTTTCTTTCAGTCTGAAGTTATTTCTGTGAGCATTATTGTTTTTTGAGTGTTTTCTGTGTTTATGTTTTAATATCTGCTGCTTCTTTTATTATTTATGACCTGAAAGTATTTCCGTCTCCTGACTCTTTTCTGCTCAGGAACAATCTTCAGTCTTTAGCTTTTATTTCAAAGATGTTTTCAAACATTTCACACATTCGGTTCCTGGGATCTGGACCTTATAAAGCTGCTTTTTCCTGCAAAATACTTGAATTTGATCATTTCTGGGCCAAGCCGGCTGCTGGTCCATAATAAGCTGATTATGTTGAACTGGGACGTTTGTTGTCTACTGGTGTCTTGTTTTGATGACCTTGTTTAGCATCATCAGCGCTGCTTTAATCACCTCTGTGCTGTTTTCTTGTTGCGCCTCATAATTAATAGAGAATCAGACGACCTGCTTTATCAGATCAAAAACCTGAAGGGAAGAAAAGTGAAGTTTGAAGATAAGTTTCAGGATGAAGGGAGAGTCAGGGAAACAGTTGCCTCAGGAAACTTTTACTTTTTTTGAAATTTTGCCTTTACTGTACAGTATTTTATTCTTTATTCTGTTTTTTATAAATACTTTATATTCTATCTTTCTGTGAGTGTCTGCTAGATAGACCTACATGGTATATCTAGTTGTACTGAAACTTGGAACAAGAATTTTTATCTTAAATTAAATTCAACTCAATTTTGTTCTGCACAAAATATCATTATAAAGTATGTAAATTAGGACATTATCATACAATATCTGTAATGAATTGCCATCCAGTTGTATGTTATCTAATTAAATAGGACAATCTGAGTTTGATTGATGCAGATAAATGTCTTTTATTTAGACCAATCACAGCAGCAGGATTCTCCCAGCTGATTGGCTGAAATAATATGGAAACGTAAAGTAAATGCATTTTGTTCCTCATCAAATAATTCCTGTAAATAGTAAAAAATCATTAATTTAACAAAATGTGATGCTTTTATTTTTGGCACTTTTTAAGTTATTTAATTGTGGCACTTGTGGCTTCCCGTACCATCTGTGGTCCAAACTGGTCATACTTTAGGTTCTTCCTTCGATCTGAGCAGAACCTCAAACTCTGAACAGGAAAGTCTCCATGTCATTCATGCTGCCCAGATCATACTGGATGTAAACCAGTTCACTGACAGACCAGTTCACTGAGAAACCAGTTCACTGAGAAACCAGTTCACTGAGAAACCAGTTCACTGATAAACTGGTTGTATAATTCTGTCTTGTTCTGTTTTTTACTTTCATTTTGTTTTCCATGTTCAGTTGCTTCGGTTCGTTTAGTTTTGGTTCGTTTAGTTTTAGTTCGTTTAGTTTTGGTGCGTTTAGTTTTGGTTCGTTTAGTTTTAGTTCGTTTAGTTTTGGTTCGTTTAGTTTTGGTTCGTTTAGTTTTGGTTCGTTTAGTTTTGGTTTGTTTAGTTTTGGTTCGTTTAGTTTTAGTTCGTTTAGTTTTAGTTCATTTAGTTTTAGTTCGTTTAGTTTTGGTTCGTTTAGTTTTGGTTCGTTTAGTTTTAGTTCGTTTAGTTTTGGTTCGTTTAGTTTTAGTTCGTTTAGTTTTAGTTCGTTTAGTTTTGGTTCGTTTAGTTTTGGTTCGTTTAGTTTTGGTTCGTTTAGTTTTGGTTCGTTTAGTTTTGGTTCGTTTAGTTTTAGTTCGTTTAGTTTTGGTTCGTTTAGTTTTGGTTCGTTTAGTTTTAGTTCGTTTAGTTTTGGTTCGTTTAGTTTTAGTTCGTTTAGTTTTGGTTCGTTTAGTTTTGGTTCGTTTAGTTTTGGTTCGTTTAGTTTTGGTTCGTTTAGTTTTAGTTCGTTTAGTTTTGGTTCGTTTAGTTTTGGTTCGTTTAGTTTTAGTTCGTTTAGTTTTGGTTCGTTTAGTTTTGGTTCGTTTAGTTTTGGTTCGTTTAGTTTTGGTTCGTTTAGTTTTGGTTCGTTTAGTTTTGGTTTTCCATCACTCTATAGTGTCTTCATCATGTTCAGAGGAAATTATTAATTGAAGATAATATATACTTTTTCCTGTAGCTGCTGCGTCTGAACCGTTCTGATCCGGTTCTATCATCTGGTTCTGATCCAGTTCTGTGATCCAGCTTTGATCCGGTTTTGATCCGGTTCCGATCCGGTTCTGTGATCCGGTTTTGATCCGGTTCCGATCCGGTTCTGTGATCCGGTTTTGATCCGGTTTTGATCCGGTTCTGTGATCCTCTGGTTCCTCAGCAGGAGCGTCTCGTTTCCCTCAGACCAGCGTTGCTCTGCATCTGTTACCTGAGAGCGTTTGGTGCTGAACTGACGGAGTTTTCTCCTGAGGTTCAGATCAAACTCTTCCTCCCAGGAGTTTTGGAGCAGCTGGAAACTCGTCTCCATGCTGAGCTTAAGAAAACAAACGTTTCACCGTCTGAGAGCTGCAGGAAGTGGATTTGCTTTCTGAATGGTGTGTTTCCTGCAGAGAGCCCTCTGACGGCGGCGGCCCAGCTGGACAGCGGCGTGGAGATGATCAAGGTCCTGAAGAACGGAGGAGCTCATCTGGACTTCAGGGCCAAGGACGGCCTGACCGCCCTTCACAAAGCGGCGCGCGCCAAGAACCAGCTCATCCTCATGGTGAGGAAACTCCGACTTCCTCCTCCAAAGACTCAAACCCTCCATTCAGACGTTACGTCGGCCTGCAGCCGCTCGGCTCTCGGTGCTTCAGAGAGACGAGAAAACTTTCCTGTTTTCATTTGTGATCCAGACGCTGCTGGAGCTGGGAGCGTCTCCAGACTACAAGGACAGCCGCGGCCTGACGCCGCTCTACCACAGCGTGGTGACGGGCGGAGACCCGGGCTGCTGCGAGCTGCTGCTCCGCCAACACGCCTCCGTCTGCTGCCAGGACGAGAACGGCTGGCACGAGGTCCACAGGTAACACACACACACACACACACACACACACACACACACACACACACACACACACACACACACCACACACACACACACACACACACACACACACACTTGTGTGTTCTGGCCTTCAGATTCATCAGATTGCTTATCTCCTCCCTGTCAGGCTGTAAAATCTCAGCCTTCCTCATCCGTCCCGTTTCATAGCTGATAAGAAGAAGCTGCTGCCGCTTCGTTCGCTTCACGTTCATATTCATGTTTCTCCTCAAAGTTTTTCCACTCAGAAAAGACTTTCTGTTGAGAGGAAAAGTTCATTTCTCTCGTGACATCATGCAGGATTTTCACTGTTTCTGTTCCATTGTTTGTAATTGTTCATAAACTCAGAGATGATGAAACATGATGTATAATTCAGGTGGAGGAGCTTCATCTCCCAGACCTCTGACATACTCACCATGATGACGAGCATCAGCTCTACAAGCAGCAGCTCAGCTGTTTTTATTTGCTTATGTTTGCAGGCTTAATGACTTTTCCTGCAACATAAGCAACATCCATTTTTAATGTCTGCACAATGCGTCAGTGCATTTTAAAGTCTGCTTGCTTTTCATCTCCTCTGTGATTTGCAGCTGAAGCACTTTGTTTCATAAAAGGTTATAAAGTGATATTTAGCTTTAGAAGTGTAAACATCAGAGGTTGTTTCTCTTTGACTCTTTTTAAATATATATAAGTTTAATAAAGCATCCAGGCTGGATGCTGACTGTTTGTTTTACCTCTTTTTTCTCTAATCCTGCTGATATTTATGAAATATTTCCTTTCATTCAACATTTATGTCAATTGTGAAGCTCAGATCATTAATATCTGTCAGTTGTTTTGTTATTTTGTCATTTATATGGAATCTGAAACTTGAATTGTCAATTTTTTCACATTTTGTGAATGCAACATGACAGTGGCAGGATGATCAGCCCAAACATACAGAAATAAAAATATATGTAAATACATTTTAACAGAAACACAAATTAAATTTCAGTCAAACAGGAAAAGTTTTACTTTGACTTTTTTCTGGAAGTTGAAATTGAAATTTGACATTAAGTTTGAAATGTTTTTCTCAGAAATATTCATGAGACTCCATAGAGAAATTAAACTCAGCTTCTATTTCAGTTTGAATTATGAATTTGAGTTTTGGAGAGGGAAAATACAAACCCAACAAGTTCAAAGGTCAGACAGTCTACACATTCAGGGTTTTCTCTAAAGATAAGCGTATTTAATAAACATCTGGACAGATGAGTTTCTCTCTGTGACTCTGGTGGGTTTTATTTCAGGTTTGATTCTCTTTAACTTCCTTTCCTCCGTCTTTCTGCTCCTGGGTTCAAACTGAGGCGACCAGCTGCTACCAGCTGCTGCTCCGCTTCACTTCTCCTCCTCTGCACCACACTGACATCTAGTGGTGAAGGCGTCACACTGCAGGATCCTCTCACCACTGTGTGTGTGTGTGTGTGTGTGTGTGTGCGTGCGTGCGTTTGTGTGTGTGTGTGTGTGTGTGCGTTTGTGTGCGTGCGTGCGTGTGTGTGTGTGTGTGTGTGCGTGCGTGCGTGCGTGTGTGTGTGTGTGTGCGTGCGTGTGTGTGTGTGTGTGTGCGTTTGTGTGCGTGCGTGCGTGCGTGCGTGTGTGTGTGCGTGTGTGCGTGCGTGCGTGTGTGTGTGTGTGTGTGTGTGTGTGTGTGTGTGTGTGTGTGTGTGTGTGTGTGTGCGTGCGTGCGTTTGTGTGTGTGTGTGTGTGTGTGTGTGTGTGTGTGTGCAGGCCTGCCGCCACGGCCATGTGCAGCATCTGGAGCATCTGCTGTTCTACGGAGCGTTGACGAGCGCCCAGAACGCCTCGGGGAACACCGCCCTGCACATCTGCGCCCTCTACAACCAGGTGAGCAAAATAATAAACTACAACCAGGTGAGCAAAATAATAAACTACAACCAGGTGAGCAAAATAATAAACTACAACCAGGTGAGCAGGTTTCCTGTCGCCACTGATCGTAAACGTTTATGCTGGAAAGTGAAGTTTTCTATGACATGAAAGTAAAATCCTGGGTTTGATGCAGAATATTAGAAAATATTCAGTGTTTTTAGTAAAAACTAAACTTCCATTATCAATGTTTAACAAACTTTCCCAGCCTGATCATCTTTATTGATTATTAAGAGAAAAAACACATTTCTCATGTAACACATCCACAAATGGTTCTGAAATAAAACTCCTTTTATTGCTCTTTAAATAAAACGAGCTTCTTATGTCGCTCTGTTTCTCTGGTGACCAGAAACATTTCAGCTCTAATAATAGATTTCAGCAGAAAATGGTGGAAAGTTAAATAAATATGAATAAAGTTTTTGACCCGGAAACATGAACAAATGCAGATTGATTCTGTACTGTTACATAATTTCTGAATGGAAGTTAATATTTCAATATGAAAATTTTTCCCTTTTTATTTGAAGGCTTTTGCATGTGGACATTTTTGTCCATTGTTGCTTCATATTTAGACCAAAACTTTTGATCCCATTTAGATTTCTGATCCATATTCTTCATTAAAAACCATAAAGTTGTTCTGCTGCTGCTGGTAAGACGCTGACTGCTCAGTATTTCACAGCATAACCCTTCAGATCTAAGTGAATTATTCCCAATAAGAGAAATGTGAAATGTTCTCCGTCTGGCCTGCGTTGCCTTCATGCTCCTCATTGTTCGGTTCAGACTGCAGGAAAACGTGAGCTCCACTCACAGGCGGCGGCCATGACATCGACCAGACCTGACAGGAAACCGCAGAGTCCGGAGCTTCAATCCGAGGAGCTCAGCTTCCGTTCTTTCCGCTCCGCTCTGTTTCTTTTTCCCAGGAGTCGAGTTATTTACCGTCCCTGCTAGTATTTATGATGTTCCAGTCGGTCCCAGGAGGAAAGTCGAGTTGCTGGGTCTTCCTCTAATTACTGTGAACAGCTGAAGTTCAACGTGAAGAGCGCTCTGCTTTTAATCTTTTCATCATATAACTCCTATAATCACCACCCACACATCATTTCATCCATTTAGCTGCTTTTGCTCTACAAATTTCCAGGAAGTGAAAGTTGTGTGTGAGATGACAGAAAAGGATCCATCAGCCTTTCATTATTCAGAAATAAAAGCAAGTCAAGAAGCGATGTCGTCTTTTAAAACAAAGAAACCCAACAAGTAATTGATGTTTTTATATCTTGGAAACAAATTTGATGGGATTTGATGAACAACAGGTTCACTCCTATGAGGCTCATTCACACAGAAAGGACAAACAGCTCTGCAGGATATTACAGAAAAATAAAGAAACTGTTTAAAGCACTTCATTTATCAGAGTTTGGTACCAAACTCTGTGTTTTCCCAGACAGTTTGGTTTCAGTGAATCTTTCCAGGTGAACAATCCAAGTCTTCAGGTCAGATTGAGGGTAAATCTGCTTCCTCTCTTCCTCTCTTGTGAGGAGCTGCTCAGACTTTCACACCAAGCTGTGACCCTCTCCAGACGCCACTCGACTTGAAGCTGGTCTCTGAAGCCTCTGGCATCGTTTGTGCTGCAGGTCAGCATCGTTTGTGCTGCAGCACACCAGAGAGCGTTTAACTTGCTGCTCTCAGTTTGGCTTTTAGAGAAAATATTCCCTCTGCTGCTTTTAAATCTCAGCAACTGAAATTATCTGTGGTGCCAAGAAAACCAGTGAAGTAAAAATAATATTGGTTCAATTCTCCTGCTGATCATCATGAAGGCTTCACTGTCATTTTAACAGTCGTTACTGAAAACTGTTTCCAGATAAATTATTATGATATCTGGATGAGAAAAATCCCCAAAACTGAGATTCATTTCCTGCAACTTGATAAAAATATAAAACTGCACTGAGGATAGTTCAGCTGATTTTAGGTGAATCTGCTCCACACTGTGATTATTTTATTTTTCACCATCTGTCTCTGAATTAATCCAAAGTATTAATAAACCTCAAACATGAATGTTTCAGAAAGGAAAGGTGATTTTTTTGGCTTATTTAACAGAATATATGTGAACAGATATTGGGCAACAAAATAAAAAGCAGATTTTCTCATCTCATTTTGTTTACTTTCATCATTTTAAATGAGAAATATAAACAACAATGTTTCCAAACCAAACCCAGTAAGTTGCTCTGGTCCATCATCAGACCAGTTGCAGTCGATTCATTCTGCTTTGTGGTCAAACGTCTCGTTTTCTGGCTCGTCTCATTTCGTTGTTTTGTTTTCCAAGAGAATAATTTTGCATGAAGTTTGTTTTTCGAGGGAAGCTTTTCACCCATTATCATGACCTTTGACCTGAGTGAGGCCTGTGGTTTTTCGGTCATTTCTCTGAACTTTGCACACGCTGACCCTGACTGGATCTGCTGGGACGTCCAGTACTGGAGAAACGAGAAACGTTGTCCAAATGGAGTCCAGATGACCTTGAACCCTTCCAAGAGTGACAAACGGCTGCAGAAGACCCTGGCATCAAAGTTTCCAGGGAGAGTCGTGAAGCTCTGCTCTGACCTCCATCTTTGTTTCTGCTCCTCGTTTAATGAATTTTCCCGTTTGTCCTGAGTGATTCAGCCACATTTCTGAGCGTTTCTGAGGAGGAAGGACAGCGTGTTGGAGGACTGGCTGCGGTCCAGGTGGACGGGTAAAAATAACCCGCAGGATTTCAATGAGAAGGGAAGCGTCTCACGGCAGAACGTATGGAAGGAGCTGACGGCTCTGCTCAGATCATGGCTGTGCTTCAGTTTGTGATTCTCCTGCCAACTCTCCGCAGCTCATTGTGGCTCTAAAAAAACTATTTATATTCATGTATGTGTGCGCGGTGCATGCGTGGTGCAGCACATTGTGGGCGAGTTGTGCAGCAGATTCAAGCCCCTCAGCTCGCGCCAGCGCTCTTCTTCTCTCTCGTCCCCGGCTCCCTCTTCCTGTCGGAGTGGAGCAACAGATTCAGAAGAAGCTCCACTCCTGCTGCAGGTGGTCCTGCTGCCTCTCACTTAGTAATGACATGCTGAGGTGGTGAACACTCTTCCCTGCACCTCTTGGAAAACTCTGTCACTGGAAGATAATCGCCGTTCTTCCAGAACAAAGTAGGAGAACTTAAAGGACTCGGATCTTCAGGATGTTTCTGGTTGGTTCTGCTTCATGTTTTTTTCTGTTCTCCCTCCCAGGATAACTGTGCCAGAGTGCTGCTGGTCCGTGGAGCCGACAAGGAAGTGAAGAACTACAACAGCCAGACTCCATTCCAGGTACCGCTGAAACATAAGTAAAGACATAAAAGTAATTGCTGCTATTTTTAGCCAGTTCTTGGTGATTTACTGCAGCTTTCAGAGTGCGGGGAAAACATTTATAGAAGCGGCACGTTCTCCTCATCTCATTTGTTGCCATGGCAACAGTGGGGAAACAGCCAAGGTCAGTTTCAACCAAGGATGCAAACACTTTCTTGGCCAATAATGGAAATGTTGTAATTAAAGTCGTGGGGGAGAGCAGCGAGGGAGCGTGAAATGCCGACCGTCTTTTTGGGATTCGTCGGGCGCAGAAAGGGCGATTCTGATGCGCCTGAATTTATTCAGAAAGCGTGAAAATATTTACAAACGCACCGTGACATGAAACCTGAACACGACAAAGTTTAATGTGTGTGCATGAATGTTTGTGATGTTTCTGAGTCACTCCAATTATTTCATTAAATGTTCTTTTTGCAGCAAGCAAATTAGATTTCTGCAGGAAATGTTCCTCAACTTTCCCCTACAGATCAGATCCTGGCTGTTCGCTGAGCTGGTGTCACAAACATCGCTTCAAATCTGCCGTTTATTTCAGAAAAACAGAATCGAAGCACTATGATGCTGCGACTTTGAAGTGTGATTTTAAGAAAGTGGGAGGTGACTGCAACCAAAGTCTGAGGCCCTACAACATGTCAGGCAGAACATTATGACCACAGACAGTTAAAGTCAACATCATGAATCATCTCTTCGTGATGAAGTGAACATTTTGCAGTTCCTCCAGAACTTCACGTTTGTTTTGCTGAGTTTTTGCAATCAGAATCACTGATTTTGCGGAACTACGATGGAAATATTTGTGAGGAATTTTGCAATATTTATTCCTCATTTCCCTTTCAAAATCTATATGTAGAAGCAAAAAGATGTGAAAATAAGCAGACAGGCTGGACATAAAGAAATCAGCTGGATTTTTGTTACGCTGCATATCCAGTCCAACTGAAGTGTAGTTAAAGTAAGAGACACTGCCACCTGCAGGTGGGAGTTAGCAGTCACGTAGACCCAATGATTTTCATCATTTTTATGAAAATGTGTGTGAATTTCCTCCGTCGCAGAATCATAAAAACCTGAAGGTTAGGGTAGGTACGTTATGTGTCCAGCTGCCTGAAAAACCTTTCCTACAGTTTTCACATGTTTCAAGCGTCATTTCCAGTCAAGCTGTTCTAACTGGGGTTTTGTGCTTAAAATGAAAGATTTGATGTTTAACATTTTGGTTTTGTTTGTGTGAATACGTTCAAATCAGAGTGATTTTGCTTCATGCTCATCCTGTAAGAGTCGAATCGAACATCTGTGGCCTGAACTGAGGATTTGTCCCGATGGACAGTGAACCTGCTCTCCTGCTGCGATTATCTGCATGTTTTCTGAGGGGAAAAGTTCCAACTGATATGTTTGACTCATAACCTACGCCTCAGTTACAAAAGAGCCTTATCCAGGCAGGCTTTTACGAAAGGCAGTCCCACGGGGTCCTCCAGGTCCTCCACATCCACTCCAGTGGAGCGTTTCATTAGCTGCAGCGTTTCACAGAGAGAGGGAGGACGGGATGAACTGAAATCACATCACCGTTAGTCACAGTCTGACTACAGCTGAGGCTTAAATTTAGCCGTTTCCCTGGAGTGTGATTTCTGTGAACAAACTGCACTGAACAAAATCTAGAAAAAATAATAAGTTTTCATGATACTGTGAGGTTTGACACTTTAGAGGAAACACAGACAGCTTTGAACTGGTTGTGTAGTTTGGTGATTATCAGGGATGCACCTTATGGTACTTTATAGTACTATTTACTATATATGTTTCCATACACTTACAACAGTGGGAAAAGACAAAGACACTGCTGATATCAACCCTGCTCTGCATCACTGTCAGTCACATGACCAAACAAATACCACATGACCCCAGCCCAGAAATACACAGCAAAAAGATGGAAATAAACATCAGTTTTTCATATCAGGCCAGTTTTACGTATCAAACCGATAATGATGTGTTAATGCAGATAAATTCTGCTTCTCCAGTGTAAAAATGCCCCCCTTGGTGTGACGTTTCTGTCAGGCTTGACTGCTTATCATCCCAGAATGTAACAATTTGGGGGCTAGTCCGGGAGGGCAGAACTTAAATTGTGTTTTGTTTGGTTATGGGTCCAGTCCTCTCTGTCTTCTCTTTTAAACATGTTTCTTGAAAAGGTTCTGATGATGAGCCCTGATGTGGGTCAGCTTGTGTGACTTGATTTGGATTTCTTTCTGGATCTCTGAAACGGAATATAGACTCAGATCAGTTTAGTCTTAGAAATCTGAATCAGAAATTCTGTAATCCAAGCATATCCATGTCGGTAGGTAGTGATGGACATAGTTCTGCTAATATGACTCGGCTAGAGATCATTTTTTGGCTGGTGTTTGTGTTTTTGGTGATAATAAAGATGCTTAGAGCATCTAGTATCTCCTAGATAAATTTTCCCAATGTGTTCTGTTGTAATTTCTTGAAGCCCAAACCGTCCAGGCAGGTGTGCAAAGACAAATTTGCTCATAAAATTGTTGAGGCATGGTTGGTATTTGCATGGTTATATTTAGTTATTTTATGCTAAATACCATGTTGTTGTAATGCTTTAGCATTAATTTCAGTTAGCGGTGCCCAGCACCATCTACAACTCATTCTGTAGTTGTAGTTCTGTAGTTTAGTTGGAATTTTTCTCAAATGTTTCCCAGAACTGATTTATTAGTAAATTATTAGTAAGTGGTTGAGTATTATGCAACACACTGCTTTTATCACTGCACTGCTTTTCAAAGCAAAGCAATTTTCTTTGGTAGTGAGATGATTTTCTTGCCGATAAAAGCGCAAAGATTGCTGACAATAAGACCCAGCAGCTGCTGTCCCTCAGTAGTGAAGACGTTCAGCTTAACTGGGGCGGCCAAGTGCAAATCTGTTGCAGAAGAGAAACAAACAGCCGTTATTTTCCTGACAGCAGGCTCAGCGGCTGAACATCAAGCAGCCACTAAACATGTTGGACTCTCACTTGTTGTTGAGTGGAGGAAAAAAATCGCTCTCTTGCACTTACTATCTTTATCATTGTTGCACTCTCCTCCTACACATGAAGCCCAGAGCTGAATCCAACAAGTTTATGCCTGTTTTACAGATGGAAGCTGGAACAGGTACAGACCAGAGGAAACTGAGCTGCAGGAGATTCAAAAGCTGTGACTGTCCTGCAGCTCAGAGGACGATACGTTCAGGCTCAGGCCCGGTTTATTCATTCATCATTTCCTTTTAAATTAATTTAAATAAACTTCAGGAAACATTTTCATGTGGTTTGCTTAACATCCATGGTAAACAGTTTTATGTATTTTTATATTTTCAGACTGTTTCGAAGTGGTTTCTAAAGTTTTATGGTTCCACTTTAGGGTATGATGAACATGATCAAGCTTTGAACTTTGACCTCATTTAGAAAAACACTGAGGATCCCAGATTCTTTCCAGCTTTCCTGCAGTTCTGGTTCTTGTTTCATTTGAGGTATGGAATTTGACTAGGCCATTGTCTTGTTGATGACCCAGTTAGGACCAAACCGTCTGACTGATGGAGCTGAATGAGTGACAACCAGCCCACATCATCATCCCTCCGCCACCGTGCTCGAGGTGTTTGTGCTGCCAGACGTCCTGCTGTCTGCCATCTTGTTTTCCTCCATCCTTTCCTTTCTGCAGAATGATGGAGTTCAGATGGTCTTAAAATGCTTCACAGATTGATCGGAGTTGCTGATGTTGTTCCAGTTTTATCTCTGTGGTTGATTTGATTCAGTTCTCCAGATTTTCTGCAGCACGTTTAATCTGTTGACTTTACAATGCAGAAAAAATTAACTAAATGTTTGTAGAAATAAACAGCAGACAAGAGAGCAGGTGATATCAATAGAACAGGTCAGAAGTAATTAAATATCATTGGAATTAGAAAACACAGCAGGGTAGAATAAATTGGGTTCAAGCTGCTGCACCAATAATTTGAATGCATTAAAAGGTCATCCTCTTCAGATGCTTCATCTGTTTTATTTGTATTCTGACAAATCCTGAATATCAGAGCAGAAACATTACATAACTCTAAACAGGAGTACATCTAGACAGAGAGCTTGAACACCCACTCTGCCATTCCTCAGCAAAACAACAGAAAGAAGCTCAAACACACAAATTAACTACATATCAAGGCGAAATACCTTAAACAATTAGAGAAAAGCAGCTTTAAACTGAGAAAACGTTTGTTCAAAACGGCTCTCTAGACGTGTTTGAAACAAATGTGACATTTATGAGCTCTAAGGAAAAATCAAATTAACTTCACAGGTAAATACGAGTTAAATGACAAAGATTAAAAATCAATCAAGTTTACTTAAAGTGAAGGCGCAAACTTGCAGTGGTTTGAAATTGTCAAGCTATTAAAATGTTAAAAATATTTCAGTCATATTTTAAGACTCAAATGAATTTGAGACATTGTGAAAGGAGTGACTTTATTTTCTGAGCAGCCTGTCGGACCTAACATTCACATGTTGCTCATTTTGGTTTTTCCGTTTGGGTCTCTACAGCAGAAACAATTAAAGCACAAAGAAAATCCCGTCCAGTTGTGATAAGTTTCTTTTTTCTTGGTGTCTGGAAAATGAGCCATTTGAAAAACCTGTGCTGTTGTGTAACAGTGCATCTGTGTGTGTGTGTGGGGGGGGGGTTGTAGCACTCGTTAAAAGATGTATTGTTTCAGCCAAAAGAAACAGAGAAAAGCAGAGAATCAGTTGTTCTCTCTCAGTTATTTGTTTTCTTGATGATTTCAACAAACCGACCCTTCATGTTGTTTCTCATCTCTCCAGTTGTATTGTGGAAGTTTCTGATCTCTTCAACCTTTAACATCTAAATGTCTCCATTTTCATCAAAACCTTCCTCCATTCTCCACATTCTCCCTTCTCTCTTCCCGCTCCGTCTCTCCCAGTCTAAGTCTTAAAGGGACAGTCAGGAAGTCGGGGTTCTGTGGAGCGGTTAATGCAGTCAGTGGCTTCCCTGCAGCAGAGACAACCCCTTCTGAAGTGAGTCAGATCCTCCATATGAAGGAGGAGTGTTTTTTTACCAGGCTGGGTTAGGATGTATGTGGATGTGCCTCTGAGCAAGGCACTTCTCCCCAAGTTGCTGATCAATCAGCGTATGACTGGGTGAGTGTCACTGGCTGAATGCGACTCTGCAGCTTTGACCTGTTTATGAATTCAGTTTATGTACCTGATGAGCCACCAGAAGCCACAGAAGCAGAAGAACTAGATCAGAACCGCTAACTGACCAGTGGCATGAGGACCTGGACCCATCCGGACCCGTCTGGACCCATCCGGACCCGTCTGGACCCATCCGGACCCGTCTGGACCCATCCGGACCCGTCTGGACCCATCCGGATCCGGCTGGACCCATCTGGACCCGTCTGGGTCGGCGGTTCTGGATGGACGCCGTGTTTCCACTGAGTTCTGTTGTCTTCTTCAGATAAAGTGGCTCTGACTCCCCAGAGACCCGCTGTCACCTGGGCTCCGCGTCCCGGAGATCCGGTGTTGCCTTCAGGCACTCCTGGTTGACATGTTTCTGTTGCCAACCAACCGGCTCCCTCCGGCTGTGCAGGAAGTCACTGTCACCACGGAGACAGTGGCGCTCCACGTTAACATGACACTTCAGATCAAAACGTTTCTTTTCCTCCCGGAGGATTAAATATGTAAATAATTCTCCAGATTTACAGTTTTCTTTCCCTTTTCAGCAAATTAAACTTTAAATGAAGCTGCTTCTCGCGATCGAAGCTCAACTATATAATAATGACATTTTACAGTCAAATCTGAAATGTTGTCTAAGATTAGGTGGAAATTTAGAAAACTTTTGGGTGCATGAGTCTGGATGTCAGTCTGGATGTTAGTCTAGATGTCGGTCTGGATGTCGGTCTGGATGTCAGTCTGGATGTTGGTCTAGATGTCAGTCTGGATGTCGGTCTAGATGTCAGTATGGATGCGATTCTGGATGTCAGTCTGGATGTCGGTCTGGATGTCAGTCTGGATGTCGGTCTGTATGTCAGTCTAGATGTCAGTCTGGATGTCAGTCTAGATGTCAGTCTGGATGCATGAGTCTGGATGTCAGTCTAGATGTCAGTCTGGATGTCAGTCTAGATGTCAGTCTGGATGTCAGTCTGGATGTCAGTCTGGATGCATGAGTCTGGATGTCAGTCTGGATGTCAGTCTGGATGTCGGTCTGGATGTCGGTCTGTATGTCAGTCTGGATGTCAGTCTGGATGCATGAGTCTGGATGTCAGTCTGGATGTCAGTCTAGATGTCGGTCTGGATGTCAGTCTGGATGTCGGTCTGGATGTCAGTCTGGATGTGATTCTGGATGTCAGTCTGGATGTCAGTCTGGATGTCGGTCTGGATGTCGGTCTGTATGTCAGTCTGGATGTCAGTCTGGGTGCATGAGTCTAGATGTCAGTCTAGATGTCAGTCTGGATGTCAGTCTGGATGCATGAGTCTAGATGTCAGTCTAGATGTCAGTCTGGATGTCAGTCTGGATGCATGAGTCTAGATGTCAGTCTAGATGTCAGTCTAGATGTCAGTCTGGATGTCAGTCTGGATGCATGAGTCTAGATGTCAGTCTGGATGTCAGTCTGGATGCATGAGTCTAGATGTCAGTCTGGATGTCAGTCTGGATGTCGGTCTGGATGCCAGTCTGGATGTTGGTCTGGATGTCGGTCTGGATGTCAGTCTGGATGTCAGTCTGGATGTCGGTCTGGATGCCAGTCTGGATGTTGGTCTGGATGTCAGTCTGGATGTCAGTCTGATCCTCTAACCATCACGTTTTGATGAGTTTTCCAGTATAATCCCAGTCTGTCTTGACCTGCAGTTTCCCTTCGTTCCTCTGAAGAACCTTTTGCTCCTCTGATGTTCCACCTGGCTGAAAGTGTCGGTGAATTCTCCTCCACATCTTTACCCACTTCCTGCTACACAACCATTTGTCTCCCTGACAACCAGCGGAGACCAGGAAGAGAATGGATGTGGCGGCCATGGCAGTGCTGCTGCTGACTGTGGGCGGCAGGATGATAATGAGAGATAAATGGTGACTGTTTCCTGCAGCTCATTGGTTGGCAGCTTCGCTCTCTGATAAAAAGAGACTTGAGAGCGCCCCCTGCTGCTCTGGTTTAGTTGTTTCAGTGGAGATGAAATTCAGCGTTGGTTTCAAAGACAAAATCTGTTTCAGTGCTTCGCCTCAGCTGAGCTTACATTTCTATCTTCAGAGTTAGATATTAACAAATTAGTGACCGAGGGATTTCCACCTGACAGACTGTTTGATTAGAGACCAGAACTTCATCAGCTGCTCCACCTCCTGCTGCTCCACCTCAGGAGCTGGAGGTGGAGCAGCAGGAGG